AATTGTGTTTCTGTAGAAAGCTGTATACATAAATGAGAAACAGTAGATAGCTGTAGAGTGATCTCCTGTGGCCCTGCTAGTACAAGCCTTCCCCATATTGTCTCCTGCTTTTATATTAATTACAACTTGCATTATCAGCTGTGAGTCTTAGCCCAGCAAATAGAAAATACTGCCCCTGGAGACCTAGCTTCTTGTATCTATTTTCCATCTCCTTCTATTGTGTGCCACTCAGTATTCACTGCTTTGCTCCTGGTAACACTGCTCTTTAACACAATTAGATAAGAGCAAGAGGAGTGCCATATTTGACTCCCAATTATTAAAACTATTGGGAATAGATACATGTGAACTCTGCATTCCATAGTATGTTGCACTTTAGCTGGTGATTAAATTCAGCATATTCATACTACTGTTTAAATATGTGTGGTAATAGTATATGCAAAATTAAAGAAATAGTTGCTGTGACAGTGTATAATTGTCTTAATTCAATTCTTATGCTCCCCCATTTTAAGTCATAGGGTGGGATAACAAGTTAAAAAAACAAATACGGTGATGATCAAACTACCCCCCCACCTTAACATCTGCATTGCTACTCTACATTGGCTTCAGTCTTAGTAAAACATGTCATTTCCAAAAGATAGCTAGATAATGTGAGTTGACTTTTTCAGTAGTTTTCCATATGCTTCAGCGTACCTCTATACTGAAGACATATTCTCATAAGTGTGAAAGGTTATGGTTTTGCTTATTGCAAGCTTTTGTTCTCTTCAGCTCAAACAATTTGTGTATGTTGTTTGAGATGATGTATACTCTATATGCTATTGTTACATATTAAATTTAGCCAGGTTTTTTTTTATATATACAATACTGAAATATAAATTCTTTAGTGCTTTAAGTGGTCATACATGAAAAGTTGATTCCAGTTGAATTCATAAATGATCAACTTGTTATGATTTCAAATGATTGAAAAACCATAGGGTTATGTAAATAAAACTCCTATGGCATCCCAAAGTAAGACATGGTATATTTTGAATAATTTTCAAAAAGTGGATTTAATCAATGACATTCAGGATCTACATATGAATACACAGTGAACTCTATAGAAAACCGGGCAGTCAAATGCCATGTACAGTGTGATGCATTTCTGTTCATGCAATGGGACAATTCCTAGCTGTGTTCTCTTGCAATTTCCCTGTTACTCTCCTCCCCCCAAATTTGCTCCAAAATATTCATTCTGGTAAATCTTAGATCAAGGCAGAACACAAGATAGGATACCATCTTTTAGCTAAAGAAGCTAAATTTTATGGAGGGACACTGTTGGCCTACTACATTAAAATTAGAAGGTTATTTTACTTATCAAGTCTCTCTAATGTGACTTTAATTTTCTGTAAAAACTAAGAAGATGTGGAGTGGGGTGGCATTTAAATCTAATGAAATAAACTGTGTTCAAATTTACTTACAAATATTTTTGTAAATCTAATGAAACAAACTGTTCAAATTTACTTATAAATATTTTTGTAGAAATACCCAGGATGAAAGATCCCATTGCTGCCATTGACTTGTGGATGAGACTGATTATTTGCTCATGAGTCATGCTCTCAAAATATGGATGTGGTGCCATGTTTGTTATAATACTAATAATGAATGATTGAATATGATTGTTTATAGTACTGGGTATACTGTTAGGCAGAGCTAGGGAACAATTTAGGGCAGCTGATGTTGAAGGAGAAATTTCCCAGATATTCTTCCTAAGTTCCTCTATTATTCCTTTCCTTGGAAGATAAGAGGGCAGAGGTGTAGGTGTTCCTCCACAAATAGCTTGTTGCTATCGATGTATGAATCCCTGTTGAAGTAATATTTTACTGTCCAGTTAGGATATTGAGTAGTGGACTATCTGGGAGAAAAAGCAGCTTAAATTCATATAAATATATTTTATGCTAAAGTAAAATAAGTGCAATATTTTTCATATAAATGGTAGCTTTTAAAATTTTAAGGAGTAGTTGCTACTCCCTCCTTCTAATTTGGATTGAATCTCTGAATGGAGGACAACATAAGTTGGTATAAAAAGCAAGTTATTTCTGCCACAAGAATTTTTACTCAGTGTCTTTTTCTAAGCCAGAAACACCTGGCTTTTATATATGGTATGATAGGTTTTGGTTGACATGTGCCTTAAAACTTAACTAAGATGTTAACTGGATAAATTACTGAAATTTTAATAGTGAACTAAGGGCCTTCAACAGAAGCCAGCTTAAGAAAGCCTGCAGAGCATAATGTTAACATTATACTCTCTGAAATGTGTAGCCTAGGCAAACTTATTTTATATATTTTATAAAAAGTAGGTTTCAGCATGCTATTGGAGGACTAAATGCATGCCATGCTATTGTTTTGTTACCTTTTCATGTATTTCTTCTAGCTCTTTATCTGATTACCATCCGGCAAACAGCTGACGCTGAGAGGCTGCAGAGGGCTGAAGTGCTCCTGTCTGCTGTTTGCCTTCAGCTTGAAGCTATTTGAGTGGTTTCCTAACTCAGAGATAAAAAGAGGAGCTCACAGGCTCAATCTGTTTAATAGAGACTTGCACAGAAACTTGCTTGATCATGACATTTTATTTCCATATAAGTTTCCCTGAAATCTAATATCATTGCTTTTTTGAAATATTTATCTGTGTGTGTACACATGTGTATGCATCTCTCTGTGTCTTCACATAGACACACATAATAGATATAAGTATAAATAATCTAAACATTTCAGTCTCTTTCAAATTCTTTGTGTTCTTTTGTTTTAAATCTTCCTGAGTTTGCAATATGGTATTATTTTTGTATATTGTGGGAGAAGAATATTAATTTGTTATAGTTTTAAAGTATTAATTTTAACAATAGTACAATGTTATTCTCTACTGCTACTTTCTGTCATGTTGACATTGATTTATGCAAAAATGTGTAGATTAGATTGATAGAAAACTATTTTTTAAATGCAGTATTCCAATTTTGATTTATTTTTGTAGATAGTTCTGCTGATCTAAATAAGAGAGTTATGTAGTTTTTATTAACTGTTTCTCTTTATCCGTCTTTCACTGCTTAGCCATTGCTCATTGGAAGACAAGGGGGATAATGCCCATTCAGTTTAGTTTTGGTTTGATTTCAGAATGTGATTATGCAGATTTACTTGACATTTTTATAAGACAAATGACTCATAAGATGGTTTGAAGAGGGTAACTTGAGATAGTACGTAGACATGATTCAGTGCCAATCCTACAATTAAGCATTTGGCTTAAGCTGTAATAATTTGGGGAGTCATTAAAATGATTTAATTATTGGGGTGATTTTCCATCTCCAGTTTTGAAGGGATTGGTATTTTTCTATATAAATTTTTAACGTATGGGATTTATCATTTGCCTTGTTCACCTCAGGGACCAAAACATTTTAGATGTGCATTGACATAGCACGATTCTGACAACTTTCCACAGCCTGTTGACTTTAATGGAATTATAACTGACTGATTGTGCCTGATGTGATATATATATATGTGTGTGTGTGTGTATATAAAATATGTGTGTGCGCGTGTGAGAGAGAGATGTAGTTGTTGATGGTGATGATGTTTACTACAGAGTAAATCATGATGCCTTTTATTTGGAACAGCTTATGGTTCATGATATTTTCCTGAACATAGAGTATTTTACAAAAGTGTTTCTTGTTAGGATGTGTTTAATTTAAGTTGTCATGTATAGGTGACAAGCAATGGAAGTTCAGCCCTAAGTCTGATCTATTGCATGTGTTCTTGTTCTCCTTTTCTGCCGGAGGAAATTCCATCCCTTGCCTGCCTTCATGTGGTGCTGATAAAGCTTTTCCTGTACAGTAGAATTCCTGTTTTCCTTTAAGCAACAGCAGGGTATTGGGAATGATCAGGAAAGGGGAGGAGGACTAGGAGGAGAATATGCTTAGTAAAGTAGCACTTAGCTGCAACTTTCAGCTTTCTTCACATACCTTTTTAAGTAGCAATTCTCTCCAGGAAAACCAATACTCAATAAATTAAAAGCAAATGGAAATTATATTACTAAACTGCTGTAGCATGCTTTCATTTAGGGAAGCTTTGCCAAATCTCCTATGATTATTTACATTGTCATTATATATCAAAGAGAAAGATTTTAGAAGAATGTACTGTAAATGTCAATTTAAACTTGCATATCTAGCTGACTCTATTTAGCTAGATATGCAAGTTTAAATTGACATTTACTATTTAGCTGTATATTCTTTCAAAAATATCTCCTGTCTTCCCTTATTAGGTGTATTTTGTTTGCAATGTTATTTACTGCACGCTTATAATAGAGAAAAACTAGTTTTTGTGTGTGTTATAATTATTAATCTCCCTTCCCATATCAGAAAAAAAAATTAAGATACTTGATGCAGGCTTGGTAGTGAAAACTGAACAAAAGAGAAATGGTAGTTCAGCTGTGTGTTTGAATGTCTATAGTGATTTTTTTATTAGAACTAGATGGCAATCATATATTGATTTACTTGGGTATAATTGCTATTGAACTTAATATTCCTTTATCTGAGTAGGCTTGTCTATAGAATTGTTTTGTGACCATATAAATATAAAACGTTATTAAAATATTTCCTTAACTTAGCTGCTGGTTGTTACAAGTGCAAAAAGTCAAAAATATTCTTTTAAGGAAAAGAACTTTAAACTGTTATTAGAGCTGCATTTAATTGTGGAGTAAATATATGAAAATGAATGTAACTTAAATATAGATAAGATTAGTATGTCACAATATATTTCTGTATATATTGAGTCAAAAATAAATCTCATATCTTCAAGAGAACATATCCCAAGGTAAATGGTATAGGATTGCAACCTCAGTAATCATTTGCCTCTGAACAGTATCTGAATTTTAGGAATTTTTGCAAATGCTAACCTGCCTACTTTTTTTCTGGCTTCCCAACCTCCCTTCCTCGATTTGCTATTGGAATGATAACTGTGGGAAAAAATGGACATTCTGACACCAGAATCCTTCCTCTTGGAGAGATCATGATGATGCAACGTCAACGCACTCAGCAGGCACACCAGGGCCTTCCAGTGGGGGCCATGCTTCCCAGAGTGGAGACAACAGCAGTGAGCAAGGTAAAAGGTCAAGCTTTTTTTTCCCTGTGCAAAGTAGGCATGACTAAAATAACTTCAGTGTCTTTTATTATATCAGTACATCTGCCGTAGTGTAAACACAAGAGTGGCAGGCTTGCAATGTAATCAGATGTAACTTAGGGAGACACTTATTTCCTTTTTTCAACCTTCTTAGCTGTTTTTTATTATTATTTCAAAGCCAAATATCTAATCTTCAAACAAGCTTCGCAATAACAATTGATTAGTTCTGCCAATTCCTTTACAAATTTGGCTATCTACAGGGTTGTGTGTGTGTGTGTGTGTGTGGTATAAGTAAATATGGCAGACATGAACCCCAATTGTGGTGCAGCAATTCATACTAGTCTCTAAGTAAAAAAATATTACTGTCAACTAAAAAAAGGCTTTTCAAGCCAGTTGAAATGTTCTTAAGCCAGCAACAGGAAGAAAACAAACAAAATTTTAACTCATCCACAGACAAAACATACATGCAATTATTGAATGGTCTGAAATCCACAGTAGATTTTATTTCAAAGTAGTCTATTAAAATTAAGAATACCTTTTGTAATGAGTTGCTTGTGGATTGCTACTTAATATTTCCACTTACACCAGTTTAATTGGAAATGGGCTAAGTTTAAATTAGTTATATAAATGAGTAATCAATTAGTTATAACAGATAACATTTTTAGGACTGTGGTATAAGACATAGGTACTGTGTCCATCATAGTTATAGTCCTAGTCCAATATGGTTAACATGAAAGTTTTATACAGTTAATGGGGCTGTTCATGGCTCTTCAGAAATAAGTTCCATTGAATTAAATTGGATTTACTCCCTGTTAAATTGGGACTGGAATGCAGTTTAACACTTTATTAATGCTGCCAGTTTTGTATAATCAAGTTTATTTTTAAAATCATATTTAATTATTGAACTTAACAGAGAAAATCTTTAAAGTTTAGCTCTTGATCTCTTTGCAAATATTAAATTGGATATTTGACAACCTTCCAGTTCTAATAATTTAGTTCTTTCAAAACTGTCCTACCTTCTTTACAATGTTATAACTTCTGTTTAAGAAAGTATATTATTGGTGCCAGTTATCTATATAGAAACCAAATATTTAGAGAAGATGTGCTTGCCCTCATATGAGCGAAAATAGATTTGCCTTGTATAATTTGTTCAACATATTTAAATTTTATATTTCAGAAGCTTCTTTTGAAGCTTGCTCATACCAATTGCAATAATTGGTATGAGCAACATATCTACATGATTATATATGTATAAATACCAATAAGTGTTGTGAATGTGTATAATTCCTGGATGAACTCCATGATCATTAAACTAGATTAATGGGTACATGGAAATAGCTAAATTTCCATGTCCTACAAGCAACAAATGCTCTGTGCTTATTTATCTCTGTTCCATAAATCAGGAGCATCATTGGTAATAGCTGTCCAGTGGTTTTTTTCACTTCTCTTTCCAAGAGTAGAGGCACAATTGTGGGAAAGTTTAGGTTAAGGTATCCAACCACATACTACATGGTGTGATTTGGGGCTCAGCTATGATGTGGCACAGAGAGTATTTAAATCTTGCCACAGGCAATGGCCCTGATTCAAATCACATGCAGATACAAGCTGGTATTAGCCATTCAGCAAAAAGCAAAACAAAACAAAAAGAACACCTCCTAGTGGTTTGGAGAAATAATCTTGGTTGGTGTGGTGGTTCTGGAGCAAGGGATTATGTCTCTGCATAATGGATCCCTTATTCAGTTGTATAGCTGCTTTTTGTAACAAAACCAGACAATTGAAAGAACACATGTTTTCTTTAAAAAAAGAAATAGTTTTCAAAAGACTGTTTTGAACAAGTATTGCTACGATGGCTGGTGTGGGTCTTCCGGGCTGTGTGGCCGTGTT